CCCATAGACATAACCTTTAGTCCACACCAAGATCTTAACCTAATCTGACTTTAGATATTATTTTAATTCAGAATAAGAAGCTGGGATACTGCAAAGAAAACCACCAGCCTATAAATAAATAAACATCTATATTGTCAAAAAAGATGTGGGGCCCACCTACTTCTTAGATAATAAAAATGATGATGGACAGCTTCAGTTTCACACTTAGTGTAGAAGTACATCTTCCTGTCCAGAAAAAGTACAAATATAGGTGAGATTATTAGAAACCTCCTTCTGGAGTACATGGGTAGCAGGGAGTAGAGTTTGGTTGCTGCGACAGCCATTTTGTGAATGGTAAGCCCTTGAGCCATTTTACAAACAGCGGGTATTGCCAATACATTAATAGTGTACCTGAAATGGAAAATACATTTTATTTCAAACCCAAAACAAACATTTGTGTTCTGTAACTTCTGCCGAACCACCTCAGATCAGTTGTGATCCTGCTGAATCAAAACCTGTAACATTTTGGTTGTTCTGGATTCACATGAAACAAAACTCTGAAGAGATTTTATGGGTGCAAAATGCACCAGCCTGCCTTATCCTCCACCGCAAACTTCACAGCACCTTCCTTCTTCACTGCTGCTGTAGATGCCCCAAAGCAATGCATCTTGCTGCCCTACCTGTTTCCCCCCGCCTGCCCCCCATCTTCCTAGAGCATTCTCTTTCCTTCCCCCCCTCAGCCACTGCTGATATTCTGAGTGGTGCACCTATTTCTTACTGTAGTGGTCTCAGCAATAAGGAATAGTTCCCAGGACTGTATACCCTCTAGCCTGCCCAGCCTTTCCTGTCTACTCATAACTTTTACTACCAATATCCTGGGTTTTTCCCTTCTCTTACTTACCTTGCCCCCCCAACTTCTGCCCAGAACTGTGTTTTTACCCTTTTTTTAGAACAAAACAGATCATCTGCTTTGTTTTGTGTGTGGACAGAAACATCCAAAATGCATGTGCTTCCGTTTGGGCCTGATCAAACCAAAACCAGCTGTATCATGCATGGAACATTATACACATCCCTACACATGTTCTCAATGTTAAAAGTATCCCATCAGACTGGGAACCCATACCTTTAACTGCACTGAATTTGAAATTCAAAGGAGATAAAATGACACATGATGAAGATTTGAGAAAATACCACAGGATGGGAATATGGTAATTTCAACGTATAGCGTGTATAGACTTCTCTGAAGTTTAGCATTATCATACCACAAAGGAGGTGCCCTGTTTCTTTTCCATTTTTAAACATATATCAGGGTATCAGTAAAACTACAGTATTGTTGACATATTGTACTCTGGGTAATCAGTTTGCATTTCCTTTGATTAAAATACTTTAATCTTTTCCTGGTTTCCTAAAACTGAGTAGTTAGTATATATTACCACTGCTCTTCTCCTAATTAAATCTTCAAATTTATTTAGTATGGAAAATTCCTTAATCTTTTAAAATATATAACCCCATGGAAAGTAATGTTTTCAATAAATATACCTTAATATGTTCTAGGTGGATCCATTTCACACCTTATTTGGAATTGCTGGACTATCATTATTGGGTGAAGAACAAATTAAGCCTGTAAATCCTGTGTTTTGTATGCCTGAAGAGGTCCTTCAAAGAATAAATGTACAACCAGAACTTATAAGCTAGGGTTCAATGTGTGTAAAATACCTTACTCAGCTGCTTTGAATTTTTCCATCAAGACATTTCTAAATGTGTTTACATTATAAATTGCCACTTTACTGTAAGCACTATCATTTTGTATGTGTATTGTAAACAAAGTAAATAAACTGAGTGTAACATGTACTTGAGGTTTTCAGTAACAGATGTAGGTAGGTATTTAAGTATCTTCACCTCCAGTGCTGTTTCACTTTCAAAATAACATACTGTATTAGGTGCAGTAGATAAATACTTGAATTACGGTTAATATACAATCATTCACTCATCTTGGTGACAGACAACATGTATTGGGTGGTAAATTGTCCTGGGCACTCTTTCTGTTGATCGAAATTTACTTGTTTATTTTGCCAGTGACACTTCATGCACTTGAATGCTGTTTCAGGGTATGCGATAATTTTTAAAATCCAGTTTAACTTATTTATCATACCATATAATAGTAGAAATATAATGGTATCCAAACAGTTACTCTTTATTAGTGACATTCTTTAATGAAAACTAATAATGCAGTTATAATGTAACTTGGTTTTAACTAATGGCCTTGCTGAATTTTAGAAGTTGTTCTTTGCTCTAAAATATTTATTGTACAATGTGGCTTGAATCCCAGTTTCCGTAGACTTTGAATAGTTGTATATATTCAAGAATAAAATTCTATAACATTGTTTTCTGCAAGAGGAAATACTTGTTTCCACTAGAATTCCAGAAGTGCCTCCATTTCACATGTCACAACTACATTTGTAAATAAATAAATATTTAGGTTCCAGCCTTTATGCTATATACAACTCATGAACATCAGACCTAGAAACCCAACAATTGTTACACCTGAGCTGTTTGTGCTGTGTAAAAGCAGATCAGTACAGCTGGTCCTCTGGTTGTGACCACTTGTTCAGTGACCATTCAAACTTATGATGGCATTGTACAAGTGGTTATGACTGGTCCTCATAGTTCTGGCTGTTGCAGCATCTCTGCAGTCATGTGATCACAATCTGAGTGCTCAGTGCCCTGCTCCCAATTACATCACAGCAGGCTGCAGTCACATGTTCACGATTTCCAGTGTTCTCTGCCGGCTTCCCGCAAGCAAAGTCAATGGGGAATTTGGCAGGAAGTCAGAAGTCATCATTTGAAGTCCTTGCTTAACAACCTGTGCGGTCCTCGCTTAATGATGGCAACTGGAACTGTCATTGCTAAGCAGCGTGATCATGTAACATCACACTTTACAACCACATCACTTAGTAATGGCAATTTCAGTCTCAATTGTAAACCAGGTACTACCTATATATATTTTCAAAGTGTTGCATTTTAACTTTTTTCCAAAGCTAAAAACACAATGAGAAGGGGAAGTGGATTCTTAGGGCACTGAATTCTATACTTGTGCCATATGTGACTACAGAATTAAATATTCAGCTCTCTGTCAACTCTTGAGCTTTACTGATGGAAGATCATCATTGTCCTCCAATCTATGGACAAAGAAGATGAAAATGGCTACAAATTAGACCAATCCTAGCCATACAATCTCATTTCTTTTAAATTTTTCATTTTGTGCCATGTGGAGGGAAAAAATAAAATGGAGATTAAAAAACAAAACGTCTTCAGCAGCCAATCCATTTCTAAATTTTAATTTTTAAAGAACCATACCCAATCACTTTAAATGTGGCCAAGATACCTGTCATCTGGTCAGACAAGGTGTGTCATGCAAACATGCCTGTTTTCTGAACTGACAACCATACAAATATTTTGTATTTTTAATTTACCTCATTGAAAAAAAGAATTTCTGGTACTGATTAGTAAAGCACACTGCTGCTAAACAGTGACTTCAAAGAAGAATATCAAGGGGACCCCCCCCCCCATCAATTTGTACTGAAGAAAATCCAGTCAGTCAATTTGCAACTGCTGCATTTTTAAATCTTGGTTTTCTTTAGGTTGAATTTGGAGATATGTTTAACCTATCTCATTTTTCCCCTCTAATTGTATGTACATCTAGCTGGATTTGATTAGTATGGAGTAGCTCATAAGCAAGAATCAGAAATTGGGGCTTGAATGTGTAATGTCTTTCCAGTATAAATGCCAGGAAACGATATATGCAAGTGAATGTTACACTATTGCATATAGATCAGTATTGTCCCAGATTCCTAAATAAGAATGCAACTTATTTTCATAGTTCTGCCATCTTTCAACTGAATACAAAAACAAGCTCAAGGTGGATATAGTACTTGGTTCCTCAAAGCATTAAAGCAGTCTTTGGTTTATGCCATAACTCCAAAATGCAGGCTTCATTGGATTCAGGTCTGACAGCTGCATCGCTTATTTTTATTCTTAAAGCAGTTCAATTCAGGCTTAATTCAGTCCAGTTTTTCAATAGACCTTATGATTAGTACTGCATTTTTTGTTCACTTCATCAAAAAGCAGCTGGACTAAGGGGCATGCAATCTTCACCCAAAATAATAATACTGACAGGCTACTGCCAGCTCCAAGAAAGGGAGGCCCTATTCTGGAGGAAACAAGCAAATTATGCACATCATTTTCCTTCATTGTAATAAATTACATTCTTGCTACAAATGAACACTGCAGCGCGACTGCCTGGGAAGTTTAAAAGGTAGCTTTAAAAAGGTGCTTGTACTCTAGGCTAGTCT